CCAAATCCCCCCAAATTCCTGAAATTTCCCTCAAATCCTTCCCAAATCTCCTGAAATTCCCAAAGAATTCCCAAAGAATTCCCAAATTTCCAGAGCTGGAGGCGGGGGCTGCGCGGCGACGCCTGGACGCCGTCCTGGAGCAGCTCCTGCAGCGCGGCCCCAGGTGGGATCCGGGCGGGAATCCGGGAATTTCCGGAATTCTGGGAATTCTGGGATCCAAAATAGGAATTTTGGGGTGTTTTAATGGGAATTTTGGGTGGGAATCCAGGGATTTTGGGAATTCTGGGATCCAAAATGGGAATTTTGGGGTGTTTTAGTGGGAATTTTGGGAGGGAATCCGGGAATTTTGGGAATTCTGGGATCCAATAATGGGAATTTTGGGGTGTTTTAATGGGAATTTGGGGGTTTTAATTGGGATTTTGGGAATTCTGGGATCCAAAATGGGAATTTTGAGGGGTTTTAATGGGAATTTGGGGGTTTTAATTGGAATTTTGTGAGGAATTTTGGGAATTCTGGGAGATTTTGCGATCCAAAGTGGGAATTTTGGGGTGTTTTAGTGGGAATTTGGGGGGTTTTAATTGGAATTTTGGGAATTCTGGGATTCAAAATGGGAATTTTGGGGTGTTTTAAAGGGAATTTTGGGCAGGAATCCGGGAATTTTGGGAATACTGGGATTAAAAACAGGAATTTTGGGATCCCCAGGACCCTCCCTGGGTGGAATTTTGGGGGGATTTTGGGGTTTTTTTTTGGGAATTGCAGGATCTCTGGGGAGTTCCCAGATTTTTGGGAGCTTCCCAAATTCCGGAATTTTCCAGGGAGCCGCTGGAGGAGGAGCCTGGGAAAGGCCCCGGGGACCCCCCGGCCAAGTAAGGGGGGAAATCCCAAAAAAATCCGGGAATTTGGGAGGGGGGGAGGGGAAAATTCCCGGGATTTTGGGGATCCCAAAATTCCCCTCCCTGAGCCCCAAAAATTCCCAGTTTTTTCTTGTTTTCAGGGAGGCCTCGCCCAGCGCTCCGGGAAAAAGGTGAGGAACCGAAATTCCCACAAAATTCACCCAAATTCCCACAAAATTCCCCAAAATTCCCACAAAATTCCCCAAAATTCACCCAAAATTCCCAAAAATTCACCCAAAATTCACCCAAATTCCCACAAAATTCACCCAAATTCCCACAAAATTCCCACAAAATTCCCCAAAATTCCCCAAAATTTCCACAAAATTCCCAAAAATTCATCCAAATTCCCCAAAATTCCCCCAAAATTCCCACAAAATTCCCCAAAATTCACCCAGAATTCCCAAAATTTCACCCAAATTCCCACAAAATTCCCAAAAATTCACCCAAATTCCCCCAAATTCCCACAAAATTCCCAAAAATTCCCCCAAATTCACCCAAATTCCCAAAAATTCACCCAAAATTTCCCCCAAAATCCCCACAAAATTCCCAGAAATTCCCAAAATTCCTCAAAATCTCCCTAAAATTTTCAGAAATTCCCCAAATTTCCCCCAAATCTCCCTAAAATTCCCCCAAAATTCCCAAAATCCCCCAAAATTCCCAGGAATTTCACAAATCCCCCCAACTCTCCCTAAAATTCCTAAATTTCCCCAAAATTCCCCCCCAAAATTCCCACAAATTTCCCCCAAATCCCCTAAAATTCCACAAATCCCCCCCAAATCCCCCTAAAATTCCCAAAATTCCCCCAAAATTCCCAAAAATTCCCCAAATTTCCCCCAAATCTAAAATTCCCTCCCAGAAATTCCCCAAATTCCCCCCAAATTCCCCCCAAAATTCCCAAAATCTCCTTAAAATTCCCCCAAAATTCCCAGAAATTCCCCAAAATTCCCCAAAAATTCCCCAAAATTCCCAGAAATTCCCCCAAAATTTCCCAAAAATTCCCCAAAATTCCCAGAAATTCCCCAATTACCCCAAATCTTCCCCAAACTCCCCAAAATTCCTCCCCGATTCCCAAATCCGGGGTTTTCCCACAGGCCCCCCGGGCGATTCCCGCAGCAGCGACGGAAGAAGAGGAGAGAGGGGGGGGAGGGGCTGGAGACCCCTCCCCAAAAACAGAGTGAGCCAAAATCTGGGAATTCTGACCCAAAATCCGGGAATTCTGACCCAAAATTGGGAATTCTGACCCAAAATTGGGAATTCTGACCCAAAAATTCGGAATTGTGACCCAAAATTGGGAATTCTGACCCAAAATTGGGAATTCTGACCCAAAAATTCGGAATTGTGACCCAAAATTGGGAATTCTGACCCAAAATTGGGAATTCTGACCCAAAATCCGGGAATTCTGACCCAAAAATTGGGAATTGTGACCCAAAATTGGGAATTGTGACCCAAAATCCGGGAATTCTGACCCAAAATCTGGGAATTGTGACCCCAAAATTGGGAATTCTGACCCAAAATTGGGAATTCTGACCCAAAATTGGGAATTCTGACCCAAAATTGGGAATTCTGACCCAAAATCTGGGAATTCTGACCCAAATCTGGGAATTCTGACCCAAAATCTGGGAATTCTGACCCAAAATCCGGGAATTCTGACCCCAGATTGGGAATTGGGAATCGGGGTTGGGTTTTGGGGTGATTTTGGATGATTTTGGGTCACTTAGGGGTGTTTTTGGGGTGATTTGGGTGTTTTTGGGGTGTTTTTGGGGTGTTTTTGGGGTGATTAGAGTGTTTTTGGGGTGTTTTTGGTGTGATTTGGGTGTTTTTGGGGTGATTTGGGGTGTTTTTAGTGTGATTAGGGTGTTTTTGGGGTGTTTTTGGGGCAATTTGGGTGTTTTTGGGGTGTTTCTGGTGTGATTTGGGGTGTTTTTGGGGTGTTTTTAGTGTGATTTGGGGTGTTTTTAGGGTGTTTTTAGTGTGATTTGGGGTGTTTTTGGGGTGATTTGGGGTGCTTTTAGTGTAATTAGGGTGTTTTTGGGGTGATTTGGGGTTTTTTGGGGGTGATTAGGGTGTTTTTGGGGTGTTTTTGGTGTGATTTGGGGTGTTTTTTGTGTGATTAGGGTGTTTTGGGGTTTTTTTTGGTGTGATTTGGGGTGTTTCTGGGGTGTTTTTAGTGTGATTTCGGAGTGATTTGGGTGTTTGAGGGGTTTTTGGCTCACTTAGGGGTGTTAGTGGGATTTTGGGTGGTTTTGGGTGTTTTTGGGTCACTTAGGGGTGACTTGGGGTGTTTTTGGGGTGATTTTAGGTTTTTTGGGATATTTTTTGGGCGTTTTCAGTTGATTTTTGCTGGTTTTGCGCCGGTTCGTGCCGGCTTTGGGTGTTTTGGGGGTGATTTTGGGTGTTTTTGAGGTGTTTTTGGGTGTTTTTGAGTCATTTAGGGGTGATTTTGGGGTGGTTTTGGGTCATGTGGGGGTAGTTTGGGGTGGTTTTGGGGTGATTTTGGCAGATTTTGGGCTGAGTTTTGCCATTTTTGTGCCAATTTGTGCCGGTTTTGGGGTGGTTTTGGGTGTTTTGGGTCATTTAGGGGTGAGTTTGGGTGATTTTGGGGTGGTTTTGGGGGTGATTTTGGAGTTGTTTTGGGTCATTTTGGGGTGATTTTGGGTGTTTTGGGTCATTTTGGGGTGATTTTGGATGTTTTGTGGGTGATTTGGGGTCATTTAGGGTTGATTTGGGGTGTTTTTGGGGTGATTTTGGGTCATTTTGGGGTGATTTTGGGTCATTTTGGGGTGTTTTGGGTCATTTTGGGGTGTTTTGGGGTGATTTTTGGTCATTTAGGGGTGATTTTGGGGTATTTTTGGTGTGATTCTGGCTGATTTTGTGCTGGTTTTGGGGTGTTCTGGGGTATTTTGGGGTGTTTTTGGGGTGTTTTGTGGTGTTTTTGGGGTGATTTGGGGTGTTTTTAGTGTGATTTGAGGTGTTTTTGGGGTGTTTTTGGGGTGATTTGGGGTGTTCTTGGAGTGGTTAGGGTGTTTTGGGGGTGATTAGGGTGTTTTTGGGGTGTTTTTGGGGTGTTTTTGGGGTGTTTTTAGTATGATTTCAGGTGTTTTTGGGGTGATTAGGGTGTTTTTGGGGTGGATTTGGGGTGTTTTGGGGGTGTTTTTAGTGTGATTTGGTGTTTTTGGTGTGATTTGGGGTGTTTTTGGGGTGTTTTGGGGGTAATTTGGGTGATTTCGGGGTATTTTTGGTGTGATTCTGGCTGATTTTGTGCCGGTTTTGGGGTGTTTTGGGGTGGTTTTTCGGGTGTTTTGGGGTGTTTTTGGGGTGTTTTTGGGGTGTTTTGGGGTGTTTTTGGGGTGTTTTTGCCGTTTTTGGTGTTGTTTTGTCCGATTTTTCCCGTTTTTGTGCCTTTTCCCCCCAGACTCGTTCGTGATCCGGCTCTTTGACCGCAGCGTGGAGCTGGGGCAGTTCCCGGCGGGGACCCCCCTGTACCCCGTGTGCCGCGCCTGGATCGGCCACAGCCCCGCCCCCGCCCCGCCCCCTGAGCAGGTCCACACCAGTTTGAACTGGGAGGGACTGGGACAAACTGGGAGGCACCGGGAGACAAAAATCCCGGCGGGTTTGGGGCCAAAAAGGGCGATTTTAGGGGGGAAAATGTGAATTTCAGGGGGGAAAATGGGAGATTGAAGGGGAAAAATGGGACTGGGATGGACTGGGACAAACTGGGATGGACTGGGAGGGAACTGGGAGGGACTGGTTTAAACTGGGATGGACTGGGATGAACTGGGAGGGGCTGGGATGGAACTGGGACAAACGGAGGGAACTGGGATGGAACTGGGACAAACTGGGATGAACTGGGAAGGAAATGGGAGGGACTGGGACAAAGTGGGATGGAACTGGGATGGACTGGGACAAACTGGGAGGGATTGGGAGGGAACTGGGAGGGACTGGGAGGGTTTGGTTTAAACTGGGATGGACTGGTCTATATTGTTCTATACTGGTCTGTACTGGTTTATACTGGTTATACTGGCTTATAATGGTTTATACCACTTTATACTGGTTTATACTGGTCTATACTGGTCTGTACTGGTTTATACTGGTTTGTACTGGTTCACTGGTTTCTGTTCTGGTGCAGGCCCCCCCCGGAGCCGAGGATGTTCTGGCCCTGCCCCCACCTGGCCCCGCCCTGGCCCCGCGGGTCCCCTCCCCCCTGGGCCCCGAGGAGGGGGCGGAGCCGCCCGACCAGGTGAGAGCCAAAATCACCCCAAAATACACCCAAAATACACCCAAAAATGCACACCAAAATCACCCAAAAATCCACACCAAAATCACCCAAAACTACCCACAAAATACCCCCAAAATAACCCCAAATACCACCAAAATACACCCAAAATAACCCCAAAATACACCCCAAATACACCCCAAATCACCCAAAATACACCCAAAAAGTCACCCCAAAAATCACCCAAAATGCACCCCGAATCACCCCAAAGTACACCCAAAATACATCCAAAATAACTCCAAAATAACCCAAAAATCCACCCCAGTCACCCGAAATACACCCAAAATCACCCATAAATTAACCCAAAAATTCACCCCAAAATCACCCAAAAATCCGCCCCAAAATACCCCAAAACATATCCCAAAAATCCCCTAAAAACACCCCAAAAATCCCCTAAAAACACCCCAAAAATCCCCTAAAAACACCTCAAAAATCCCCTAAAAATATCCCAAAAATCCCCTAAAAACACCCCAAAAATCCCCTAAAAACACCCCAAAAATCCTTTAAAAACATCCCAAAAATCCCCTAAAAACACCCCAAAAATCCCCAAAAAATATCCCAAAAATCCCCAAAAACAACCCAAAAATCCCCTAAAAACACCCCAAAAATCCCCTAAAAATATCCCAAAAATCCCCTAAAAACACCCCAAAAATCCCCTAAAAACACCCCAAAAATCCTTTAAAAACATCCCAAAAATCCCCTAAAAACACCCCAAAAATCCCCTAAAAACACCCCAAAAATTCCCCCCCAAAAATCCCAAAATTTCCCCCAAATTTCCCCAGCTCCCCCTGAGCCCAAATTGGCCCCGCCCAATTGATGACGTCACTGTTTTGACCCCGCCCTAGGTGCTCGACCCCGCCCCCTCGATTACGTCACTGATCTACAAGAACATGGACAGGTGGAAACGGGTGCGGCAGCGGTGAGAGACTGGGACAAACTGGGACAAACTGGGGGGGTCTGGACTGGTCTGGACTGGTTCATACTGGTTCGCACTGGTTTGTACTGGTTCCTACTGGTTTGTACTGGTTCAGACCGGTGTGTACTGGTTTACACTGGTGTGTACCTGTTCATACTGCTTCATACTGGTACGTACTGGTTTGTACTGGTGTGTAGCAGTTTATACTGATTTGTACCAGTTCATACTGGTCTATACTGGTCCCTACTGGTCCGTACTGGTCTGTACTGGTTTGCACCGGTTCATACTGGTTTATACTCGTTGATACTGGTCCATACTGGTCTATACTGGTTCACACTGGTCTGTACTGGTTCATACTGGTTTATACTGGACTGTACTGGTCTGTACTGGTTTGCACCGGTTCATACTGGTTTATACTCGTTGATACTGGTCCATACTGGTCCATACTGGTCTATACTAGTTCACACTGGTTCGCACTGGTTTATACTGGTCGATACTGGTCCATACTGGTCCATACTGGTCTGGACCGGTTCATACTGGTTGATACTGCTCTGTACTGGTCTATACTGGTTTATACTGGTCTGTACTGGTTCGTACTGGTTTATACTGGTCCGTACTGGTCTGTACTGGTTTGTACTGGTCAGTACCGGTTGATACTGGTTGATTCTGGTCCATACTGGTTTGTACCAGTTTGTATTGGTCCGTACTGGTCCATACTGGTTGATACTGGTCCATACTGGTTTATACTGGTCCGTATTGGTCTATACTGGTCTATACTGGTCTGTACTGGTTTATACTGGTCCATATTGGCCTATACTGGTCCGTACTGGTTTATGTTGGTCCATACCGGTCCATATTGGTTTATACTAGTCTATACTGGTTTATACTGGTTGGTACCGGTCCATACTGGTTTATACTGGTCCGTACCAGCTCATACTGGTTTATACTGGTCCATACTGGTTTATACTGGTTTGTACCAGTCTGTACTGGTTTATACTGGTCCATACTGGTTTATACTGGTCCGTACTGGTCGATACTGGTTTATACTGGTTTGTACCGGTCCGTACTGGTCTATACTGGTCCGTACTGGTCCGGCAGGTGGCGGGAGGCGGCGCAGCGGCAGCAGCAGCGTTACGGCCCCAGCCTGAGGCTGCTGCGCATCATCTATGAGCGCCAGTAACGACACGCCCACCCCGGGCCACGCCCCCTCGGCCACACCCACTACAGTCACACCTGGCCACGCCCACACCCATCATGGTGACACCCACCCCTCTGGCCACGCCCACCCTGGCCTCGCCCATTTCATCCATGCCCATGGCCACACCCAGATTGGCCACGCCCATCGTGGCCACGCCCCCCGACCGTGGCCATGGCCCTCTCTGGTCACACCCACCATGGCCACGCCCATCGTGGCCACGCCCACCCCCCAATAAAGAAGCCTCCATTTCCATATTTGGGTGTGGTCGATGCCTTTATTTGGGGAAAAAGGGGCGGGGCTTCCCGGTGGTGATGACGTCATCGCTGCTGTGCGGGGAAAGAAGGGGAGGGGTCAAGAGTGGTGAGGCCACGCCCCCTTTGGGTTTCCATTGGTCAGGGCTAGTCCCATGTTGATTTCCAGCTCTCCCATTGGCTGCTCGCAGCCCATCCCCTTTTCCCATTGGCTGATCTCAGCCCCGCCCCCACCCTCTCCCATAGGCTGAAACACCCAATCCCCGCCCC